GGGCAAAAGTATTTGTTCTCTCCTTTTTTAATTAATTCTGTCTGTTCTTTTCTGGTGGCCTGCTTTTGTTCATTCAGATCTGCCTTATTTGTGGGTGGATAAAATAGCTTAGCAGATTAATAATAGAAACCCTAAATCTTGCCAGCGCTAGTCCCTGCTTCTTGTTGGCACTGGCACCAAAAATAGAGTTAAATCTGAATGCACATGTTGTTCTCTCTACTGCAGAAGCAGATACTGAACTGTTTATCAGCTCAGAAAAGAAGTGGGCTATTTAACTTGTTACATACAAGTTTAAAGATTTCAAACTGAACCTGAAGAGCTCTTCAAGCCCCAACCAGTCACGTGTAGGCAGCAAAAACTATAGACATCACAAACAAGTTTCAACTAAAGTCAAAATAACTAACACATCCAGCTATTCTAGATTGGCTTTGTTTAGGAGGATTATGTCTGTGTCTGTCATGTTATAAATGTGAACTAAGAAATTGTTAAAGTACTTACTCATTTTAAAAATTATGATAAATACTATATTATTGTGCAAATACATAGGACTTTCTATTAACATTTATGTGTTTGTGTGTGCTTGCCTATATACACATGTGTATATAGGTCAGAGACAACATTCAAGACTTGGTTCTCTCCTCCCACCATGTGAGTCCTAGGGATCGAACTCAGGCTGTCAAGCTTGGCAGTGAATGCCTTTACCCAGAGAACCATCTCATCAGCCCAAATACATGGAAATTTATTAAGAGTGAAAGTACCATACACCTTTGCACATTTCTTTGTCTTAGAAGGTGATTAGAGGGAGCTGGAGAGATGGCTTAGCATTTAAGAGCACTGGCTGCTCTTGCAGAGGACCCGAGTTTGGTTCCCAGCACACACATGGTGGCTAATAACCGTCTGTAACTCTCAGTTCCAAGGGATCCAACACCCTCTTCTGACCTCTGCAGGCATTGCACGACACAGGTGCCCTTACACACATGCAGGCAATACACCCATACACATAAAATAAAAATA